GCGTTACATTAAGCACGGATTCAGGATCTATACCTTATCTTAATAAACAACCAAAAAACCCAAAGAAACCCCAACCCTCTCAACCTCTCCCCCAGGCTTAACCTCCCCCACAAAAAACTGGGGGGAGGGGGGGCAGAGGGAAAATTTCACTATTTGTTCAAACAAGATCGAGCCATTCTTGTTGGGAAAGCAAGTCTGTCTTTTGTCAGTGTTTTCTGTATGCCACTCCCAAAGAAACCTCGTTGTTCAGATGTTTACCACCTCTCACCTGTTTACAGGGTGAGGTTTATACTTGCATCAGCATGGATCTGTTCAGGTAGAATTTTGAGTTGCTGGAAAGAAATATGCTGCCTGATGATTAAATGACAACTTTCTGTAATGGATAATTCCATTATCAATCTTCTAAGTTAATTTAAAAGGAGCAATATCTGTAATTTATGTACAGCATATTCAATTAAAAACTTTTTCAGTGGAGGACGTGGAGTTTTGCTTCTGTCCTCTGAAAAGATCTCCATTTTTTAGCTTCAAGTCATGTGGTGTTCTCCTTCCACCCCCCACCGCTGACAATGAAGAAAACCTGACAGTTGTACACTAGTGGAAAACAGCCAGTGACAAACTGTTTTCCAAAAAGACAAAAGGAACCTTTCTGCCTTTTATGTCCTAAAGTGATCTGCTTTAGAAGAACCAGGACTGGCCCTCATCTGAGAGGAGCTGCAGAGAAAGCTCATTTGAAATACTGAGGCATCAGATCTAGAGGGTTTTCTCCTCCTCCAGCTTTCTTGCCACAAATGGTAGGTGGGTTGTGGCTGATAGATACATTGTCATTTCAGTTCTTGAAACGCTCAAAGCACTATAGAAGCAAAACAATGTTCTCCAATTCTTTACAGCAAGCTTTTCTTCATGGTCTTTCAGAAGTGTTTTGATCAATGTATTTGACAACTCACCTACAACGGACTGCAGTGTGCTCTTGTATCCTGTATTTGTGGATAGCTCAAGCTTCTTTTGGGCCTGCTATGTGAAAATAAGACAAGTTGCTTCTGAAGTAGAACTAATAAACTTAGTTTCCTACAGTTTTTGTGTACATTTGGGTTTTTTTCCCTCCATATTCACCTTAATGCTGTATCTCCTCTGAGTTCCTGCCTTCCCTGTGCCCAGCTTTCTCCTACATCACCTATGCTGTCCCTATGTCCCTGCGGCACCACCCTGGCCCAGTACCTTGTGCCTTTATATTCCCTGATTACCAGTGAGGCAAGAAGTAATACCATGCTGCGGATTTAAGTTACAAATATGTTGATTAGCCAACCAGTAGCCTTAGCATGACTGTTTAGTTTCTACTACAGTCTTTTCCTTAGGATTATTAATTTTGGAACCGTTGGTGTTCATGATTCTTAGAGATGTCCTTTTTTCTTTTGGGTCTCTGCCCTTCCATCAGCTATGGCTAGTCAATGGATTCCAAGTGTTTTACAAAGTTTCTGATTAAAAGTAGTTCAAACAAGTAGCACTTTTCTTAGCAAACAATTATTTGCATGTTTTTTTCTTTTCCTCCCTACCATCTTTGAGTAGATCCATGCTGTTATGATTACCTGTGCAACAGTCAAAGGGCAAGTCATTATAAGGCAGTATTTAAAAGCATGAATATATATTCATGTCTGTGTATATAATTCATACATATATGACTCATTCACATTTATCTTTTTTTTAGCCTATATCTTTTGTGTTTAGAATACCACTCCTGCCATATAAAACAATATTGTCACTACCCCCTGTGACCCAGTAGTTTATTAGGCTCTCCTTCTAAGATCAAGGAAAGACAAAAAGCCCTATGGAGGTTTTCTTGTTGTTTTCAAATTATCTGTGGATCTGCATATTTCTAAATCTCTTGGTTAGATGTGGGTCAGCTGGAAAAAAAAAAACACAACAAACTCTGCTTCCACCTTTTTGAAGCTGATAAAACTGTTGTCCCATTATACAATACCTGTCAGGCTGAGCAAAATTGCTTCCTGTTGCAGAATACTTGGTATCAACACTCATAAGCAGTAATATTTATTCGTACTCTCAAATTATCAAAAATTTGTTTCAGTGTAAATGCTTGGGTGATCCAAAAAGTAGAGAATCTGCCTCATGAGCAGCTCTCATCTGCCTAAAGTTGAAATAGTAGCTTTGAACTTTCATTGTGTGACCTGCTAAAAATCAAAGTTGCTTATGTTTAAAGCCTTGGGCATTACCTCCTCAGCTATTTCTCATAGAGTTGTGTTTGGCCTTTGTGCTTATTTTGAACGTGTAAAGTAATTGCCTGATTTTAGTTATGGTGCCCTTCTACTTAAGCAACTGGTAGGTGGATCTGTGTCTTTGCATCTATTTTGCTTTATCTGTCACTGCAATCTTGAATTTATGGAAAATAGATTGAAGGCTATTAGTGGTGCATTAGGCACACCAGTTCTTTGACATCTTATCCAATTTACAAAAAATCCACATCAAGTTTAGTAAATATGCTTTGTACACCCCAACAGTTAGAGAGCTCCATCACATCTGAGGAACCTGCTTTCTTTTGAAAGATGCCAGACATCTGCTCCCTTAGTAGAAACACCTTCAATCCTGAAAGACAACTGACTAGAAATGTGGCTGGTTGGAAAGATCTGTTTAACTGCCTTTTTCAGTACACTTAAAGGAAAGGGGACAGCATCCTCACTGTAGCCACAATAGCTCTTTCGGTCCTACGTGCACTTATTGACAACAAATTCAGTTTGCTTCTCCCTGTACATATTTTTGTGCTTTATTGCATTTGTCTTAACGCTATTTAGATGCACTTTAGTTACTCCAGTTTTTTAATACTTCTGTTTGGCATTGTAATTCACGGAAACCTTGCAGATATTTATGGTTCTTTGCAAAGTTAGATCAGTTTCATGTAACAACTTCCTCCGTGACCTGCTTATAATTTGAACTCCTTAGAGTTCAGTCAGAAAGTTTGATAGAATTTTGATAGAATTTGGAGAGCAAACACTTCAAAACTTCCAGTCCTAGAGTTTATCTCATTATGTGAGCTTTTGACTTTGCTTTATTGTATACATTTGTAACAATAAATGGTCTATCTGGGATTATCAGCATAACTTGAAAAAATGTGTTTTATGCAGAAGTTATCAAAGTTTGCATAGGTAGTTTGGTAATCAACTAACAATACTGGTTCCACAAAATTCCTGTTCCAATCTCCAACTGTTTGCATCTACTGAATATAGTTTGAGGATTTATCATTCTTCTGGTTTTTATTTATTATTGCATTAACTGCAGGCAAATGTAAATAAAACTCAGGTACCCCTTTGCATCTCAGTCAAATTCTGTTTTGAACAGAGTGATTGGGGTAGTTTTGTTCTTTTCTTACAGCAGCCAGGACTACAGCTTACAGATTCTAGATTTACATGCCTTCCCAGGTCACTTATTGAGTGGCATATATCAAATAAGTTACTACTTTTCATATCATCTACCACCTTTACAATACAGAAGTATTTAGCAATACTGGCCCAAGGAAGTAATTACTGGATATTCTCACTCCTGTAGGTATTCTTGTTATGACAAATTTCTACTACATAAAGCAGAAGGCATCATCTCATGCAGTTTATGGCACACCTCATTCTATGGAAGTTACAAACCTTCATTTATTCATTCACTGCTGAAAGTGTGATATGCAGAGTTCCTAGTCTTATTTTTAATATAATCCAACACTGAATGCTTAAAAGAAAAGTGGTAATACCCATAAGAACTAGAACTTAGGGATGCTTAACTTTTTTTTTTTAAAACATTAATCACCCATCTTTGCTTCATTAAAGTATACAGGTTTTGCCCTAGATTCTCTGAAAGAAAATTAGAAACAAAGCTTTTAAAGCCTTTCTCTCAAAAATGACTTGAACTAAGAACTTAAATATATGACACTTAAAAACATGGTGATAATGTCTTACTACATAAGGCCTTCCTGTATGCATAAATACCTTCTTAGCTATAGCTTATAATTCCTTTTACAATGACCCTTCAGTACAGCAGCATTAACACTGGAAAGAGAATACAACATAGGAATGACAGAATGAAGCAAGCCATTTAAAGGGAACACCTTCTATTGCAGGTTATCCTGAATGCAGAAGAGGTTTCATATTTAAATGTCTAACAGATTTTCATTTCTAAATAGATTTAACATTACTGAACAACTCTGCACACCTTTTCTTCTTAGTGGTTGGGTTTCAGATCCAGAAATTTTCCATGAAATAAATGTTCCCTTGTTCAAATCTGAAGTTGTTTTCTGTAGGAGGAGGCAGGACATTCAGATTCAGTGGGGTGCCAGTTTAGTAATTTTGTTCGAAGTGCATGGTGAGAATAATCTTTCTCCTAAAATGAAGCACAAGGATAAGTAATAACTTTTTATGCATGATAAGCATCAAAAATATGAGCCTGCTGATCTTTGCTTTTCATTTTTCTTTACCTTTGTATTTCAGTCAGAGCCTCCTGCAGTGTGCACACAATGTGATCAATAACTCAATAACTTTTTTCATGCAGTAATTATCTCTATGTGGTATTATCTGAACACTGTTTTTCTTTATTACCCAAAAGATGCAGGAGATATTTATATAACCAGCTGATCCCATTTTGGATGAAGCTGCTTCACGACAGCAGGAGAAAGTTTGTTTTAAATAGCCTTTTTAACAAATGCTGTATGGAAAGCTTACCCGGTAGTACTTTTTTCTAAGGGAAAAATTATTCTAAGTACTCTTTTGCACTTAATACTTTATGTTTAATTAAGCACAAAGTAAATGGAAGTGTCCAGCAAATTAACAGAGTTTTAAGCAATTACATTGAGTGTCTTTTAATAAAAAAGCCTATTCAGAAAATAGGTACAACTGTTCCGAAGTTCCTAGATGATGACTGGACTACTGATTTTTCAGAGTAAAGACTTATCTTAAAAAATAATGTTCCTATCTGGAATACATTCTCATTTCTTTGGCTTCTAATTTTCACAGATTGAGATCTTACAAGAGTCACGAATGATGATTCCAGACTGCCAGCGCAGATTAGAAGTTGCACATGCAGATCTTACTCAACTACTAGTAAGTATAGCACCATAACCCACTGATCAAGAAATGCTGCTGTTCCTTGATGAACTTGGATAAACATGCTTGTCTGCAGTGCAATTGCAACTTATTAGAACTGGATGAAGAATTTTTATAGGTCCCAAGACTAGCATCTTATAACATGTCAATATTTCATTTTAGATAACTGTCTTTGTAGACTTGGTCTTCAGTATGAAAACTGTGTGTGTTAGAATATTAGAAGCTGTCTTTAAGGGAATGTACACTCAACATACACTTAAATACTGAACTGCTAGAATGGACTCTGAATTCCTGTGCTAGTTACATGATCAGAAAAAATAGTTCACCCGTGTTAGGTAGTTTTTTAGATAGTGCAGATATATATAACGTGCTTGTAGTGAACTGAAATAGTAAAAATACTTTGCTCACTACTTTTATTGTGCTATGGACAAGAAACAAGACAGTTGATAAACAGTCCTTGCCGAGTACTGCTTATGATTTATTAGTGAGGTGAGCACTAGTCCCACATTTTTAAGATATGAATACCTGCAGGAATAAATAGTATCTTGTACAAATAGATTCAGTGAAACTATACTAAGTTTGGAGATCATCATGCTTATTTTAAAAGCTGCCTTCTCATCAAGAATTCAGCTATACATGTAAAAGCTACTGTGAGGCTAAAAATACGTATCCTAAATTAAGCCCCAGACACATCTTATTGGCTAAAATGCAAATCCTTTCTCAAAGGAAAACCCAAGGTGTCTTATCCTCAGGTAGTATGCCTCTACTGTTTTCCAAAATAAATGCTCAGTACCTGGCAGGATTTAGGGTCCGTTTGTCATTCAACTAGTTACTTGACAGTTAGCTGGTCTAGATTTCAGTGGCATGCAGAAGTGGTGCTATTGATCCATACAGTGTACTGTACAAACTTAAAACAAGGAATAGGGGAAATTACTATTGTTGTTAAGAATTTGGAAGTCTTTAAGGGTTGCTTTCTGTGCTTAGCTCAACTTCAGTACTTTTATTAAAATCAACTGTATAGTAGTATGTTTTTTCAATTGTCAATCTGCTTAAGCTTTTTCCTAATGGTACTCTTGTTCTGAGGTCTGTTATTTGTTCCAGTTATGCTGTCCTTGGTTTTAAATATTTAACAGAATAAAAGTAGATTTGACCTATGCATACCTACGCATGACAGTCATTATCCTGGACCTTAAGTAGGACAAAAGAAATTACCTGGGCTTTGCGTCATGTAGAACTAGTCTTTTCAATAACGATATAGCTCTCGTTTCACAGAATCATAGAATGGTTTGGGCTGGAAGGGACCTCTAAAGGTCATCTAGTCCAACCCCCCTGCTGTGGGCAGGGACGTCTTCAACTAGGTCAGGTTGCTCAGAGCCCCGTCCAACCTGACCTGGAATGTTTCCAGGGATGGGGCATCCACCACCTCTCTGGGCAACCTGTGCCAGTGTTTCACCACCCTCAGCGTAAAAAATGTCTTCCTTATATCTAGTCTGAATCTGCCCCCCTTTAGTTTAAAGTCATTCTCCCTTGTCCTGTCGCAACAGGCCCTGCTAAAAAGTTTGCCACCGTGTTATAGTATGTACTTGTGTGGGACAGTACCTAGCATGGCTAGGTTATGGTATGGCGTTGAGTCTTACAGCACTAAATAAGCCTCATTTACCATAGTATCAGAGAAATGCCAGGATCTGTGCCTATAATGAAAGACTATTCCAGTTCGTAAGGAAGGTATCCACTGAGAGCAATGTACTGGTTCTGAAAAACAACTTTTTCCAGTGGCAGATAGGAGGATGGTGATGATTATTCTTTTTCCTCCACAGCTTTCTGTCTGCTTGGGGTCAGCTGAGTCTAAAAACTCGTCCAGCTGAATCATCTTGGGTCATCAGAAATCCAGGCTAAGGAACAACAAGGTTTTCAGGACTGCAAGTTGATACTGAAGTGCCTGAAGTCCACATAATTTTGACTGAAGTATTTAAATATTTATTAAGGGGGTTTGTCTGTTTGTTGTTTTGTGTGTGTTTGTTTTTTGTTTGTTTTTAATTTGGACCTATTAGTCAAAGCCTGGCTCAGGACTGAGGATTTGTGAGTGTTCACAAGCTCACTCTTTTCAGTTTAAATGCCTCCCCGTCTCCCTGTTCAACATACAACAGTAGCATAGTAATAGCAAGTTTTAAAAGGAACATTGTTTTGGTTAGTTTCAAAATTGCTATTGCAGCAAAGGGAGAGCTAGGTCAGTATACCTTGCAGACCTTTTAAATCAACAGCTCGCATGATATTACCTGCATTACCAGAGATTGCTTCCTTTATATTGGGTAAAAAGAGGTATGATATACACTCAACACTATGGAAATTATTTATAAATAGTATTTATTCAATGACAAAATTTTTAAATGCAATGTAATTTTTTTAATCTTTTAATTATACTTCTACCTAAAGTACTTTCTGTATCTTTACTGACTGCTAATTCAAGCAAGATTTAATTTGACAGTTGTTTAACTAGAAGTTGTATTTAAAATTGTGCCTTTAATAAACACACCATTAAAATCACCATTTAAGCCTTAACAATATCGTCAGGCAGGACTTGCCCTTGGTGAAGCCATGCTGGCTGTCTCAAATCACCTCCCTGTCCTCCACATGCCTTAGCATGGCTTCTAGGAGGATCTGTTCCATAATCTTCTCAGGCACAGAGGTGAAGCTGACAGGTCGGTAGTTCCCAGGGTCCTCCTTCCTATGCTTTTTAAAAATGGGTGCAATGTTTCCCTTTTTCCAGTCACCAGGAACTTCACCTGACTGCCATGACTTTTCAAGTATCATGGAGAGTGGCTTAGCAACTACCTCAGCCAATTTCCTCAGGACTCTGGGATGCATCTCATCAGGTCCCATAGCCTTATCTGTGTTCAGGTTCCTCAGGTGGTCTCAAACCTGATCTTCTCTTACAGTGGGCGGGACTTTGCTCCCCTAGTCCCTGTCTTGTGGTCCATCCACTTGAGAGGTGTGGGAAGAGAGATTGCCCGTGAAGACTGAGGCAAAAATGTTGTTGAGTACCTCAGCCTTCTCCTCATCTGTTGTTACCAGTATTTTTTCATAGTTACCTTCTTAAATTTAATCCCATGTCAATTATTTTTGAAGTACTCAAATTTTGTTTTCGATTCCAGGAAAATGAAAAAGAATTGGAAGAAGCCGAAGAGTATAAAGAAGCACGTTCCATACTGGAGTCAGTGAAGCTGGAATCCTAGAAGTTTTTCAGTACTCCCTTTATATGCATTAGCACTGGGTCCATTCCACACTTTCATTTGACTGTGGCTCTATTACTACTGTTGACTTGCTAAGGTTCCCTTTATGCAAACTGGCCTTTCTCTAACTGCAAGATGCATCAAATAAAGGATGTTCTGAAACATCTGTGTGGTCCATATTCAGGCAAAATAGAAACATTTCCTGTTCACCTCAATTACAAAAAGGAAAAATAAAGCTGATTTAATGTAAGCGTAATAGTGTAATAGCTAATACACAGAACTTAATCCGAACAATTCAGGCTAAGAAACAAAATTCAGCTCTGTGAGGAACGTGAGGGACCAATAAATACTTTAGAATGAAATAGAACCATAGGATGGTTTGGGTTGGAAGGGACCTTAAAGATTCATCTAGTTCCAACCCCGCTGCCATGGGCTTTAGAAGCACCTTGTAAGTAACTTCAAGCCATTATAGCATAACAATCTGTACTGAAAAATGAGATGGACTAAATGACCCTTCTTCAAAAGTCACCCATCTTTTTTCTATGATGCAATTTATCTGTAATTTTATCAAGTATGTACTTACTACTTGTTTATCTTTGAGCCCAAGACAGAATTAAGAGCTGATTCCAAATCTTTCTCAGTTTGCCTGGGGTTGATTTGTAGAGCTCAATTCACACAATTACCATTGATCAAAATTCTGTTACTTTTTCAAGAAACAGAATTTAGCAGCTGACTAGTATGTTGTCAGTTGGATCTGCTGGTAAGAGTTCCAGACTGAATGCTTTTCCAGAAAGCACCTTGACCTAAGTAAGGTTTTTTTTTTTTTTTTAGAACAAAGCTCAAACCCCAGAAGATGAAAGAGAACTAATAGGTAAGGGAACAATGCTTAATCTGCTTGGAAGACCGTTAAAACATTATGTACAAAAGCTGTGGTTCTTTCAGAGTAGCTCCTATGAACAGCAAACAGTAAGCTCTGCTGATGAACAAGAAAGCTTTTTACATTAGTTTTTCTAGTTTGGAAGTGTTCTGGCATGTTCCTTAAAGGCAACACAAAGCACAGTGTACCTTTTGTGTGGTGCTATATTGAATACTCAATAAATTTTTTTGTTAATTTGCCTGAGTTTGGGTAAACTGCAGTTTCAGTACCTCTATTTGTGTACCTTAAGCACATTGAGAGTAATAAGTCTACTTCTCCATCACTCTTAAGCACTGCTCTGACAGATTGTCAACACCACAAGATTTCTGATTGACTGCAGAATAATCTACTTTTGAAGTGACCCCAGACCAGTATTAGACAGTGCTAAGAGGTGAAACCTTTTGTGACACTACTATGGTTTCGTAAGACTACATGCACACCTTCTTACCAGCATTATGTCCTAAGCACGTAACTGCCAAACAGACACTGCCCGGTTCACAGCACAAATGAACTGCTACTGAGAAGAACATCTGTCTTTGAATACTCATTTCAGCCAGCTTCTTCTATGGACCTTCACCAGGAAAGGTAGCTGGAGTGGACAGAGCAGATCGCATGTCTTAGCTGACCGGCTGCAGTCAGCGTAACAGTAACTCTATGCTTGCGGCCATTGAGTGGAGTGTGGCAAATAAATGCTGAGCTGAAAAGGAGGTGTGGGGAGGTGTCAAATCTGCTGGGTAAAGCAGAATTTAAAACAAAAATTACTCTTCACAAGAAAGAATATGCGCTTCTGGAAAACAAACCCACAGAAAAATGATGCGCAGTTGCCGAGTACCACAAGAAATGCAGGTCAGCATGAAAGGTAAACAGAAGCGTGACCTATAGTGGCTGAAGGAATTGTGGTATGGCTTAAGTTGGCATGGGACTTGAGTAGCTACCATATTAACCAGACTCCAGGGAAAAGTTTCTTGGTGCAGTAGTTTCTAGGGTAGAGTGGTTTCTCATGTTTGCCTAATACTTCTTCGTCCAAGCTGTTTTCTAGCTCCCTCCAATTGCATCATGAACCAGGATGATACTCTCCCCTATTCATTTCTTCTTCCCTCTTACTAAGTTCTCCAAAAGACTGAGCGTGTTCTGTGTATAGAAGATAGCCAGCCTCATGATGAAAATCAAGGTCTGTTCATACCTGAAAGGACTTGCTCTCTTCTTGTCTCCAGATGCCTCTGGAAGTGTCTAACTTCCAAGAGGACAGCAGCATGATACCTGTAAAAAACTATACCAAAAAATTGTGACAAGGCAGCAATAACATAGTGCTGGCCCCTGAAGGGTGATTGGCAAAGCCATGCAGATAACGCATTACTCATGCTAGCAAAACAGTTGATCCAGTGATACATTATGGTAGACTGCATTTTTCCAGCAGTGCTCTGAGTGGCCAGATGCAGATTATTCATAAAGAAGATTATTTTTGCTGACAAAATATTTATCATTTGGACTGGATCCAAGTTCCATAGCTAAGTAAAATACAGAAAATTAAGCATAAGCAGTAGTATTGTTAATACCCTCTCAGATCCCAAACTCAAAAGGCAGTAGCACATCAAGTGATACCATGTTCTTTCTAATTTTGAAGTTATCTACTCTTTTTGGAGATACATAGTCTGCATTAGTGGATACAAGAGACCATCCCAAAAAAGATAAGTCCTGTGGGCAACATTTTTGACCTCTGTCCTCTTTGAACCTTGCCACTAGCTTTACTGATGCCTTTCAAAGTCTACTTAAGATCGATGAGCTGCATTTACCTTTTTATATGATTATACATGTTAACTTATCACTCAGTTTTCATGCTGCACTCTTATCAGGAATGCATTTTTTACACCCTGGACAAAGGTACTATCCTTTCAATTATACATCTCTTGCTGGCAGAATATGTTTAAGAAGTTTCTCAATTATTTGCCAGTTGAACAAAACATTTGTTTTACTGAGAGGTCATAGCAGAACAGGAGTCCACATTACACCGTGCTGAAGAAACAAAAGAGGTGATTTGAGAAGAAAAAGGTAGACTGAAAATAACAATTGGGAAGTAAGTTATTGTAACAAGTTCTGTGCTCATTGCTCCGATCATGTGCTTGCTAGCTACTACCTGCTTTTCAGTTTACCCTTGCACCATTAAGATTCTTGCCCTTTGATTCAGAAGATGTGCTGCACCTGAAAGACAACTACAGAACAAACTTGGTACCTTCACCTGGAAACTAATATTTCTTAAGTCCTCAGTTATACTGTATAATCAAAACTGAAAGTAGCATCAAAACTCTGTCCTCTAATTTAAACTCCTTCCGTCACCTGAAAAACTTCCACAACACTCAGGTAATTTCTTGTAACTGGCTAATTTACAGGTCAGTTGCTTTTGTTATGTTACTAAAATGTTTTAATTAATACAAAGCATTTTCTTACCCAGCAATAATTTCCCAAAGATTCTTTGAAGGCAAATTTCTTATGTTCATAAAAGTAACCATGATTCTAAAACAATGTTTCTGACAGGCCTCAATATAACACATCTCAAAGTCCCTCAAAATAGTCTGCATGAAAAGCAAACCTTGCAATTTATTAGCACCATCTTTTAGGTGATCATTTTATGGTGTTTCTGTTCTGGGAGCAAGATCCAGGAAAAGAACTTAATTTCCTTCTGAAAACCACAGGTTGTAGTTGAATACTTAAGAAGAGGATCCAAGAAACACCCACACTTCAGCACAAACCACAGGAAGCACACCATTAAGCCACAAACCCCTTCCTCACCCCTATTCCTCTGGCTCTAAATGCAATAACTAAACTGCATCTCTCTCTGTCTGGGATTTGCAGCCCTGAACCTCTGCTTAGAATCCAATGTCTACGTCAGTTATTTCTTCCAAAATACAAGCAGAGGAAACAGCTGCCACTACATTATTTTACCCTTTTATTTATTAGCCAAACAGGTACCACTTGAAATACAGAGATCTGTTCTTATAACTGGCCATACTATACTAGAGACCAACCAACAACACAAATAAGACAACTGTAATTTTATACTAAAAAAAAATTTTTGGAATGACTTAAGAAGTATGGGGAGCAGGGGAAAGCACAGTCTGGTCCAAAAGCACTTGCACAGGGAGCATCACTATGTACAGGTCATTCCTGGCCATAGCTTACTAGCATAAAAGGGAAGAGACTGAATTACAGGGGGTTTGTGGTTTTTTTCCAAACAAAATACTGCTCATTGAGTTGAATTAGCTGAATTTCACCAAGATCACACAGCATAGGTTAAAAGGAGATTTATCCATTGAAACAGTTTCAGAAGGGACACAGTGTGTAGCAGATCCAAGACTTAAGTTAACATCCAACAGAATAAGCCTGTAGGTACATAATTAGCTACAAAAAAAGGACTACAAGGTACATCTTCAGGCAGGAGGCTCCAACATCCTTTAAGAGGAGGGAAGAGCTAACTGTAGATAGGTATTTTGCGTTAAGTCCATGAAGAGGGTAAATGTGGTACAGCACATCCTTTCAGAAGTCCTGCTAAATGCCTTAAGGTAGGAAAAGGGGACTGACTGCACAGTGCAGAGCCAATTTCATGAATGTCTAATGCTCATGGATCTGTAGAATATAATGTACCCCATGCTACAAACACTTCCGACATGCTCTGTCATATTTTGACTTTCAGGCAAGGGAAAAATTTGGGCTTTCAGAATGGCATTCACAAAAGGCAATAAACTAAGCAAGAAGTTTCCAGCCAGCAGGAAATGTCAAGATCAGGAGCAGGAAAAGAAAGGCTTTATCTGCCATCTAGAAGACCTGTTTTCAAATCCTCTCTGCTTAACCTAAGGCACAGGCTTGAATCCAGATCTGCCAGTTTAAAAAAACCCAAAACACACAGAGCTGCTCTAATTCCTTAGAATAATGTACTGTTTTGGCAACTCACCTCCCCGCACCTCTGATGAAGCCTTCAACTCTGAGCTGCAGTCAATCTCCCGCACTCCTGTAACACTGACTGAACTGGCTTAAAGCCAGTTTTTTAAAAAGCCTTTTTTTTTTCCTCTGAAAAGCCCAGACTGAAAGCTCCTCCCACAGAATACCTAGCAGCCACAGTTCAAAACATTCTCTTAGAGAGGGGAAAAAAAAAAAGAAGAATTCAAGTCCTTGGTCTAAATCAAGCAAGCAGGGGGGTTTCAATCAAGGAAAATGCTTAACTACTGGGCAATATCTGCCACTCATTCCTAATAGACTGAGGTCCTCAGAATTGCCACATTAGTAGGACAGGTGGGTGCACAGCCT